ATGTGTGTGTGTGTGTGTGTGTGTGTGTGTGTGTGTGTGTGTACAACAGCAGAGAGCAGTGAAGAAGGTGAAAGTTATATTAGACTAAACTCTGTGCTGGGGAAAATGGGAGAGGACCAGAGTCGATTTCCAATGGGCAGCTCCTCATATGGCTGGTTTGGTTGCTTATACCTGGTGTCTGAGCTGATGGATCAGTGCCCCTATTAATTATTGTTAAATGTCTAAATGTCACTGTAAGGTAGGGACGTTTGTCCTGTTTGATGAATCAACATTGGCATTGCTTCCTTTAGTTCAGACACTGCCTCCTCTCAACAATCCAAGAAGCCCTGACCTCATCACCACCATCATAACTATCACTACCATTGTCGAATTTGAACCCTGAGAGGTAGGAGAGAAGTGATCGTTATCCCATCCTATGGAGAATACACTGAGCTGACTGTTCAAAGTCAGTTGCTATCAGATGATGTGAGAACTGATTCAAACCAACTGCTTCTCTAGGATACCAGCTGCCTACTCAGCCAGCCAGAAGCATCCCGTGGGATCAGCTACAGTCCTCCATCACATGGTGGTGCCCTCACAGGTTACTGGGACTGCAGATGGGGCTTCTCTGACTCACCGATGACCGTTAGGATGCCTGTGGCCTCTGCTGAACCAAAGGTGTTGGTGACCTCACAGATGTAGGTGCCACTGTCCTCGGTCCGCAGGTCACTGATGGTCAGCCCTGTGATGCGCTTGGTCCAGCGGCTGTCAGCTGGGAGGGGCCGGCCATCCTTGAGCCAGCGGATGGCAGGGATAGGGTAGCCCGAGGCAGTGCAGGGCAGCTCCACTGTGTGGCCAGCCCACACTTCCTGGGAGTGGAAGCCGTCCAGGATGGTGGGGATGGACTCGGCCGGGTCTGGAAGACAGATAGGGTCAGCAGCCCAGGTCCACCGTGGAGGGATGCAGGAGGGTTGGAGAGGGAAGCAAGGAGGCTCCAGACAGGAGCCGCTGCCCATGAGTGCTCTAGCAAGAGAATCCCATGTAGCTCCACAGGACAATGTGTTCTCCACATAAGCTCTTGAGAGCCATTGTTGGAGCAGGGGCAGGAGGAGAGAATTCAGGGCCAGAATGACAGAGAGACAGACAGAAGGAAAGGCAGCAGAGAGTGAGGTGCAGAGGGAAGGGGTGTGTCCAAGAGCTCTTTTCACCCAGGGTCTCAGAAGCAGTGACTGGGACAGGAGACTCTTGATGTCTTCAGTCTGCAGAACTTGGCGAGTCTATCTGAGACTCAGACTCCCCCATCCTTGAGGGATGTCTGCACTCCTGTCTGCACTCTGGGCTGACTGATGAAAAGATGATCAGCACATTTTTGCTGGAACCCAGAAGGACCCAGAATTGAAGCCTCCTGCAGGCCACTGCTCAGCCTCTGTGCTGCATTTCTAGACCAGGAGAACCAGTGCCTGTGAGGCCCGTGGCCCTACACTGCAGAAGGCCTGGCCCCAGGGTGGGGTTGTGTGTGGTGCCCATGTCACCTGAATAGGTGACCTGTCTGCTCTCCAGGCAGCTCTGCCCCTGATGGCCCCTCTGAGGTTCTGCCCCTTGGGGATATGCCCTTGCTTTCAGCCTTCGCAGGCTCCTCTTAATCTATACATCACACCCCCACTCCTCATCCCGAGCCCCAAAGCCTTCTGCAGCCAGGCCTGCCTGCACGGCCTCCCCTGTTGTCCCCACAGTTTTCACTGTGGCTCTCTGGATCACCTGGATGTCCAGCTAGTCTGCTCTGTGTGGAAAACTCCTACTCATCTTTCACAAATCAGCTTCAGTCCTCTTCGGATGCCCCTACTCTTGCCTCCAGCAACTCTCATTGGACTCTAGAAGAGTTTTCTTTTTCTTTCATTTTATTTTCATACAATCCCCTCTCTTTTTTGAAAGAAAAAAGTCCAAAGTGTTTTTTTGAACAGGTAATATATGCACGTGGCAAACTTCAGAGGGCAAAGAAGAGCACACAGAGAACGGGGGTCTCTCTATTCCCTACCCTCAGCCTCCCCCATCCCTCAGGCTGCCACTGTGGCCACCTTCCCTTTGTAGGAGCTGCTGCTGCAGGCCACACATCCACCTTCCTGGAAGGTGGCTGGCTCCTTGAGGCAGTGTTAAGCAAGGCTGTCCCTCTCAGGGCTGGCAGGGAGCAGGGCCACAGGCTACTGAACTGGTAATGTGTGAGGGAGGATGAACCAGGGCACTTGGGTGTGGGGTGGGCCAGGGATCTGATTTTTCTGGATAAAACTCCACACTGCAGAATTTTATAGACTGGAGAAATAATAATGTGCCTAGGGACCTTGGAAGGCACAAAAGGATGAAATCACTGAGCCCAGAGAGCTGCAGGGACCAGCCCAAATCACACTGCAGACCCAAGATCAGAAATCAGGTCTCCCCTCACCTTTGTTCCATAAGTGAGGTCCAAGGTAGAATAACTAATATATTAAACTGTGCTCCTAGAGAGGGGTCAGGTCAGCACCCTTGCAACCTCCCAAACCTCCCAGCGCTCTGCAGGGGATGCCTCTGGGCAATGGAAGCCAGGCTAGGTTTAGAAGGCCTGGATTCAAGTTCCATTTGGTTGCTGACAAACCACAAGACCTTGGAAGGGTGTTAGGACCTCAGAGCTGAGTGTCCTCAGCTGCACAGTGTGCGTGACTGGTACCTCCAGATCTCAGGCTTTTGTAGGCAACTGCTGGCACACTGTGTGTCAAAGTGCTCTGCAGATGGTGCGGCACTGCAGAAGCATAGGGTGATTCCTCTTTGGTGCTCGCCCCCCACCCTACCAGACTGTGCTGCCTCTTCCCCACCCCCACACTGGTGGCAATGGCTAGGGATAAAAAAACCCTGGTGCCAGAGAAGAATTATTCAATGTGACACTTAATTGATGCAAAATACACAAATTCCATGGCACACCACAAAATTTACAAGCGGAGGGGCCGTCTGGGTGGTGGAGGAAGGGGCTGGGGGGAGGGAATTAATCACCGAGACTCAGGCGTGAAATTAAATTCTGAGGGAAAGAAACCTCTTTCATTACTCTGGAGCAGAAGTAAAATGCTGCGGCGTGTACATGGCAACAGCCCTGGGGGACCGGGTGATGCCAGCACGGGCGCAGCGCTCAGGGAGACAGATGGCCCTGCCCTGAGAAGCTGCCAGGGGTGCCTAAGATGAGGCTGTGTATGCCAGGACCAGGTTGCCCTGGGCAGGCGGCTAGGTCCTCCTGCGGGGGCTGGACAGTGCTGTGATGGACGGGGATCCGAGGACACAGCTAGTGTCCACTCTGTCCTGTGTGCCCAGGGATGTGAGCCTGATCATTCTGTCTCTGATCCTGTTTTCATCCTTTAGAAGTGTGGCTGGAGAGGTCTCCCCACTGAGTTGTGGGCTGTAGTGAGTTAGTGAAGTGAGAGCACTCAGCAAACTAAAAGTGCCTAGGTGTATGGAATGGGTATTACTGTATTAGGGTGGATTTTGTAACTGCGAAATCAGATTATTTCTCGCAACTGCCTCATGTAACTTGGAAAATACAGAAAAATGAAAGTTGCCTTGTCCCCACCCCCTGTTTTGAGAATGTGGTAGGAATAATAATGCAACACCAGGAGACAATGCCCAGCCCAACCCAGCACCACAGAGCTGCAGCTACCGACTGCTAGTGATTCCTCTGTTTTGAGCACACATGGGCTTTCCACACACAGTGTTCTGTTTCCTCTTCATGATAACCTAGTGCAGTGCATTTTGTCACTTGCACCATATAGAAGAGGAGGCTGAGGTTTGGGGATGTTATGTGTTCAGTGTTACATTGTGTAGTTAGAGAGCTGCAAGGCTGAGATGGAAACTTTGGCCCAATTCTTAAATGCCTAATTCTTAACAACACCCATCCCGCCCAAACCTTCACCCCCATTCAGTGACACAAAGAGTGAGCATAACTGGGCCTCCTTTCCTGACCATCACACATGGCCCTGTGTCTCATTCTCTCCTGTTCCTCTCACTTTGGGTCCAGGAACCCAGAGCACACACACCCTCCCTGGAGCTCAGGGCCTCAGGCCACTAGAGCAGGAACTCCTCAGCGACACCCTTGTCTGGCCTCTCTGAGGACCAATGGCCACCTGGGAGTGGAACTGGGCCTGGGAGTGAGCCTAGAGGTTGGGGCTGAGTTTCTGATGCGATTCCCCTCTGCACAGCCTCTCTCTAATATCAGTTGAGTTTTTGCCGAGACAAGCATCTTGCAGACAAGCTGCCTTGTCACATCCCATCACATCAGGGCCCCACATCACTGCATGGGCCCCCTCCTCTCTGTTCCCTTCCCTCAGCTCCCTCCTTCCTCCTTTCTCTGCTGTCTTCCTTTGTCTTTGTGTGTCTCTTGTTCGGTTTTCCTGTGCTATGTCATTTGTTGTGCCTGAGCCTCTGCCCTTGGGCTGCCTGGGCACCTTCATGTCTCGACTTCTGTTTCTCAGTTTGGCCTTTACCTCTGAGTCTCTGAGCAGAGTGGTGGTCTTCCTCACTCCCCACTCCTCCCCACCCCACCCCACCCCACCCCCGCAGCTGGTGGTGCATGAGGAGTAGAAAATTGGCATAGTCTTCTGCTTAAAGAGTGCTTTTTTTAAAGGGACCCTTGCCTATTCTCCCCCAAAAGCTGGAGGCCGAACTCGCAGACTAGAGGATGAAGGGCTTGATTTCATGGAGAATGGAGCAGGCGTGCAGGAGAGGGGATTTCTGTGCCTTTCCCACATTGTACAAGAAGCATGCAAATGACATGCAAAGCAGCATACAAACAAGTCCTTATAATTTGGAGGCAAACCAGTCTGACAAACAATGTGTTTGGAAATTGGGTTGCAGATTCAAAAGTCAAACCACAAAAACTGCGTTGCGTAAACCAGCTTCATCTCCTCCCCATAAGACCACACAGTTTCCAATGGCATTGATTTATGTCATAAATATTTACTTGGTACCTACTATGTGCCAGGCACATGGGCAGGCAATGAAGACACAGTGAATTAGAGCCTGATTCGGTACCCTTGAAACTCCCACTTCCCTGGTCTCCTCTCCAAAAGTGATAGGCAAATGACAGGGGTCCTGGAGAGAGTCGTCTGTGGATCAGGGTAGGTCTTGCCAAATTGCAGAACGACAGAGGCAGACAGAAGCAGAGCTGTCACCCAGGCCAGCTCATCCTCCTGAGGCCTAAAAAGCATGTATGACCTTGTGGGTCTGAGCCCCAAAGCCAGTGTGTTCTGTCAGTTTATTCCCTTTCTGAAAGCCACTTCAATCTCCTCTTCAAGACAGGGATTTTCAAATTGTAGGTCACAAACCATTAAGAGGTTGTGAAATCCATTTGGAAAGGTGCAACCAGCATTTAGAAAAATCAAAATAGGATAGAACAGAATAGAAAATATCAGAGTGCATTGCAAAGGGTATGGGAGAAAATACCAGCATGCATCACACAGGCTATGATAAAAACATTTGTCTGTGGCTTGCTGTCAAGAAAGTTTGGAAACTACTGTTCCAGAAAGCTTTCCTTGAAGGACACCATATACCTTCTTTACTCTCTGCTGGAGGCTAGATGTGGGCACTCAACTGTTCCCTTCCCTGGGGACCTGCAGCTGGGTGAACCCTAGGACCACAGGGCTCAGAGTTTGAATTCTGGCTGTACCTCCCCCCTGGATAAGTAGCTCTAACAATTTACTTGGCTTTCCTAAGATTTGGTTTTCTCACCTGTAAAAATAGGGAGAACAAGACAACCAACAAGGGAAACTCAGGGTACCCAGAGGGGATTCAATAAACATCAACTTACATCCCTCCTCAGAAGCCACAATCTCTCTAGAAGAGGAATTCTTTAGAAATATGTGTTTTTAATAAATTATACGCTGCACACTTTCAAATGTTGTGAGGTGTCCCGCAACAAAAGATTCGTGTATACTCACTGATGAAATAGAATCACAAAAACACTTAATGACAGGACTATCGGATTTTATCTACGAGCTTCCTGACGAGGAAGGCAAAAAGAGGAAAGGGGAGAGTGTGCCCATGATACTTATTACGGACAGGCAGAAGCATCAGTTCCTCAGGAACAGTAGGTACACTCTGACGGACTCCTAGAAGGAATGCATCTCCTTATCCCGACGCACCCAGGCCACATGGCCGAGTGGTTTCTGTGCTGTGTTCTTTAATCTCTTCCTGAGTCCCCTGAGTATACGAGGACTCCCCCGTCCGTGGAGGGGACATGGGGAGTCCCGAGGTGGGCTGTGCAGCTGCTCCCCCAGCCCCCTCACCTACCTGTCACAGAGAGGCGGGCCCCGTTGCTCTGCCGGGTCTCCCCGCTGTACTTGTGCTTCGTGATGCAGCGGTAGGTGGAGAGGGCGTCCTCTTTCTGCACCTCGGAGATGTACAGCCCGCCATGGTGGGTAATAAAAAACCTGTTTTCTGAAGACACAATCAGGACAGAGTCCATTACTTCCCGGCCCGGGCAGCACTGGGAGAGGAGATGATGGGGAAGACCAGAGGCAAAGCTGGTGCAGGGGACGTCACCAATAGATGGGGCTTCCCATCACAAACCAAATGGCACAGAGAAGGCGGTGCCAGAGTCAGGCTGAGGTCTCAGTCCCTGTCTGGCTCTTCCGGACTCTGTGCCCTTGGGAAAGTTACTTACTCTCTCAGAGCCTTATCTGCATAAGGGGGTATAAATAATATGTCATACCTATTAAAATATATATACGTTTGGTGCACAGGAAGCGTCCACTCAGTGAATGAGTCCCCATCTTTCCTGCAAATCTCTTTCACAGTTATTGCTTGTTGGCTCTTACAACTCTTTGAAGTGTTGTCTCCATTTTACAGAGGAGGAAACCGAGACTTGTGGTGAAGTGACCGGCTCTGATCACACAGCCAGTCATTAGCTTGGAGTTCGGGTCCTCTGACTCTCAGCTGTCCCTCTGAATTAAACCAAACCCAAACCCAAATCCTGTTGGCTCACTCTGAATCATTTATTCACTCAACAAGCAATCATTGAGGTTAAGTTCTTCAATAGTGGAGCCACGGGGAGGCAGGCACACAATAATAATTCAGCAGACAGTTCTCAGACACCCATTACATGCAAAGCAGAGAAAGGGACAGGCGCTGAACTTGACTTCCCTGCCATTGTCACAACCATTACTATCTAGACTGTGCAGGGAGCTGGGAGGACAGGTGCCAGTGCACCCATTTTATTGACTGTGAACCCCCAAAGGCTGGATTAATTTTGCAGGTGTGAGGTGGCAATGGGTGGTGGCTGGGTTATACCGCTCTCCCTGCAGTTGGCTCTGCCTTGTCCCCATGGATCTCTGCCCAGCACTCTCCCTCTCTCTGCCTTGAGACAAGTGTTCTGTGTGCCCAGTTGGGACAGACATCACATGGACCCAATCCAGCTGCACTTCGTCAGGGATCCTGAAGGCTGCGGTGTACTTGGCCACCTGGAACCTGGAGTCTGTGGTCCCCCTGCCCTGTCCCCTCCAGCCCATGGCCCAGGACTGTGCAGTTGTGCAGACTCCAACAGAGGGCTGCAGGGAAAGACAGGAAGGAGGAGGGATGAGAGTGCTGCTGCAGGCAGTCAGAGAGGAGCAGAGGAAAGAAAGCCAGGCTCCCCCACAGGACTCTGCATGTGCCGTTCTGTCTCCATGTTGTGACATCCCAAAGTCAAACGTGGAAGCTCTCCAATAATTTATTATGTAACTGGGACTGGGATGCAGAACTACTGGAGGGTGTTGCTGCCAATCAGAAGTGCCAGGGTGGGGAGGTAATGGTGGTACTGATGGGTGGGGTGAGGCAAAGCAGGAAAGACTCAAAAATCAGCACCAGCAGGCCACAGGTGCTCCAGTCCAGGACAGCCAGGACTCTGATCTGACACCTCAGGAAAATGGAGCTCTTGGCCCAACTGGGATTTTAAGCGGGAGTGGGGGCTGGGTGGGGGGTGATGCTGCGGTGATGGTGGTGGGGAGCTGGGGTTTCTATAGCAACAAGCAGCTGCTGCATCTGATGTTTCACATCCTTCATTGTCCTCATTTCCCCCTCCCTTCCCCCCTGCTTGTGCATATTTAATTGCAGCAACGTTTTCAGACACAGTGTTTTGCTCCTCCTGAAACAAAGGCAGGCAGCAGCCAGGGGGATGCACAGCGCGGAGAGAGGGGAAGGAGAAATCAGGGGTATTATGTTAATCCCCTCTGGGGGGGTCTTAAGCAACATCATTTCTGCTTGTTTGATGAGAATCAGATGATGGGCCCTGCTGGGGAAGGGAAGGAGCAAGAGGCCTGTGGAGCGGGCCTCATGTAGTGCGGAGAGTGGAAGGAGACACAGCAGCTGGTGGGGGTTCAGATGGGCCAGGGCTGGACAGCGCCATGGCCTGCAGTTGGGCTCTGGCATGCTCTTCTCAGTGGGGCAGGCTGGGTCCCAGCGGACCTGAACAGAGTGTCAGCCAGTTCCCCTGGAGCCAGCCTCCATCCTAAGGCCATTGGGAAATGCATGGGGGAGGTCATTTTTGGTTGATACCATAATTGGGGGTGCTAATGGTATTTAGGGTACAGGGGGCAGGGTGCTGGGCATCTTGAATAACAAAGAACTATCCCACTCCAAATGCCAACTGGGTCCCTTCCCTTAGGCTCTAGGACCGGAACACAGAGCTGTGTTTAAATGTGGACTCTCAATGATGAACGTAACTGTATACTTTAAAAGTACCAATAGACTCAATAAAAAATAAAAAAATAAATGTGGACTCTGCCTGGGATGCTGCTGGACTGTCACATGGTAACATCCGTCATGCTTATGGCCAGGGAAGTGCCATGTGTACACAGTTCACAAAAGCTTTTCTTGTTTGTATTATTATTATAAATAATCTGGCCTGTTTCATCATTCTCTTTCCTGAAGAGGAGCAGGATTCTACTTTTTTTAAAAAAGCTAAGTATTTATGGAGCATCTAGTACCTATTAGACCAAGTACTTTATATGTATTATCTCATGTAATCCCCATAACTACTTAACATGGATCCCACTGTTATTATCAACTGAAGCACAAAGAAGTTAATAGTTGACTCAGGGTCATATGGTTAGTACTCGGTAGGGCCTAGCCCATCAGTCTACTGCCTGTGCTCTTCCAAAAGTCTGTGCTAGACTAATGCTTCCAGAGTAGCAGTAACAATCACAGGGATGTGTAGCTGGCCAGCCTCTGTTGAGTTACTCCTGTCAATGAGATCCTCACTATTTCATCAAGGAACACTCATCAATTTAATTCAGTTTGGCTGAATTATCAAGTCTTTACGGTGTGTCTCCAGGCCCTGAGTGGGCCCCCATTGAGAGGTTTTGGACTTGGCCTCTGCCCTCTGGGATTCCTCAATGGAAGACAGTGTCCTTCTACCATAAAAGCTATAACCATCAGTGCTGGGGGCTGGTGAAGTGTGGGTAGAGCACTTGGTGGAAGCCATAAGTAAGAGAAGGAGTATAAAGAAATGCCAAGCTGGGCTGTATGGTAGGGAAAGTCAAGGACTTGGCCTTAGTAGTCGGGGCTGGAGTCCTGGCTTTTCACTTAATATTGGGGTTGATTAATGTCTCCCCCAAATTAATGTCCACCCAGACTTGTAAACATGACCTTAGTGGAAACAGAAATTTTGTAAATGCAATCAAGTTAAGATGAGGTCATACTGGGTTTGACTGGGCTCTAAATCCAACATCCAATCCTGGGTTCTTCTAAGCGGAGGGCGATTTTGACACTGACATGTGTGTGTGGAGAGTGCCCTGTGAAGATGGCAGCAGAGGTTGGAGTGACACATCTAACAGCAGACGTGCCAAGTATGCTGGCAACCACAGAAGCTGCAGAGGCAGAGAAAGCTCTGCGCTTGGGGCCTGCAGTGGGAACACGGCCCTGCTGACACCTGCTTCTGGACTCCCAGCCTCAAGACCTGTGGGACAATGTGTCTGTGTTGTTTGTGGTACAGTGGATCCAGTTTTTGGCTGCCCTAGGAAGTTAATATATGGCATACTCAGGGGAGCACCATGTACTCTAGGGCCCTCAGCTTTCCCCTTCAAGAGAGGGGAAGGATGAGGCGTTTTACACCATGTTTGTACATGAGAACCACCTGAAGAGCTTTTCAGGCTCTTTGGTGGTGTGGTGGCCTGGATATAGAAAGAACCCCTGATCAGATAAAATCATCAGGGCCCTCACTGACAACTGGTGCCTTTGTGTGGTCACTAAATGTGTGTGAGTCCCATTTCTCCCCCAGGAGAATGAAGATGATGAATAGAATTTAGGTCACAGTCTAAAGGTTGTTGAGGGGACTAATCATGCCCAGGACAGCCCCCAGCACACGGATGGCTGATTCAGTGAGGACAAGTTGCTAGGTCTCAAGAAGAGGCTACTGGGGACTTCAGCTCCTTCCTAGTGCCAGGCGTCCTGTGAATCTTTCTTTTCCCTTCCTGTTCAGGAGTTGGGCTAGAGATCGGGGAAGCACTCCCTGGTGAGTCTGAGGTCCTGCACACAGTGCTAAGTGAGCTGACAACATCTTTTCTGTCCTTTTCTTGAAAAGGGTAGAGAGCTGGGCCTTAGAGACTCCTGGGAGCTTCAGGAGCCATGAAGAGATAATTGTTAGAAACCTCAGGGCTCCTGGCAGCTCCAGAAGGGCTGGACTGAGAGGAGAGAAACTCTCTTGAGGAGGTGAGGCCACTGCTACTCTGCTCTGGGGAGGTGTAGGGGAGATTGTGGGGACTGGAGCCTAAGGGTTTGGGGAAGATATGACCTGGACTGATTCCCTGATGTTTTGACAGCAAAGGAAGAGAAATTACAGAATGAAGCAGGGGCAGCAGCTTCCCAACTGGGCCCCTCTCCATGCCAGCCCCCCTCCATCTGTCCCCAACATGAAGCCAGAGTGATGCTTTCAGCCCTAAGTCAGCTCATGAGGCTCTTTTGCTCATAACACCTCACAGGTCCCCAGTCAGTGTGGAAAGCCATGCCTGTCACACATAGGCCCTCGGTTGACATTTCTAGAATGAATGTATGAGTGGCGCTTCCCCAAAGTCTAAGGTAGAGTCTGTGCACTCTTGTGGGTATACATTGGAAAGAGTTGAACCCACTGGCTCAAAGAGAGGTTTGCACATCTGTGTTCTCAGCAGCACCATGCACAACAGCCAAGCAACCTTAGGCTCCACTGGCAGATGAAGAGACAGCAAAATGTGGCCTCTCCATGCAATGAGATATCCCTCAGCCTTCACAAAGGGAAGGAATTCTGACACGTGTTGCAATGTGGATCATCCTTGAAGACACTGCTAAAGTGAAATAAATCAGAAACAAAAAGACAAGGTCTGCAAGATTCCACTCATGTCAGGTATCTGGAGAAATCCATCTCAGAAACAGAAAGTAGAATGGGGGTTGTCAGGGGCTCAGAGGAAGGAAAAATGGGAGCTATTAAT